ACAAGTTTACCTTCAAACCAGAGCAGTAAAAAAACAAAAGAAAAAGAAATAATCTGTCCCATGAACATGTGGAAAGCCCCTCCTGAAATCCCATCAAACATATCGAGTGGATCAATGCCACTGATGGTCAGTCGCCTTCTTTCACCTTCACTTCTCTTTCTGTGATGGGAAAAAATTGTAAAATTAAATTCAGAGGAAACACCAAGAAGCACCACGTCCAGGGTGATGAAACATACAGTAGGTAAATAAGTTAATAAGAGATTTCTGTAAACACATTTATATCTTTGTCTGCAGTAAATATTACAGTGACATTACCTTATCTTGTTTATCAGCCTCAGCTGAGCCTGTTTACAGAGAGATACAAATTAAAAAACAAAAAGTCAGGCACAGAGTTTAATAAACATCTTACTTTTTGAAACATATTACTCATTCTTTTTTATTTGATCCAAAAGGTGGCAAGATTTTCTCCAGCTTGAAATGATTAAAAAAAACTTCAATACACATTAAAACTGTTGGACGATATTTTTCCGTCAATATTTGCTACCTGAGCTGGTAAATGTCCACGAGACAAACTTGATGAGCCCATAAAGCACCAGCGCCACGCCGACCATCGCCATAGAGTCCTCGATGGACGGAGAACTGAACCCTGAAAAGGAAAAAAGATCGTTAGGATTCATCTGATCTGAACAGGTTTGTTAATATCAGTTAAATTATTCTTACAATACTGTGCAAACATTTTAGGCAGGTGTGAAAATATGCTGTAAACAAAGAATGCTTTTGAAAAATATAAATGATTATTTATTGGCCCCAAATGTATTCTGCAGCAGGACAACGACCCCAAACATGCAGCCAAAGTCATTAAGAACCATCTTCAGTGTAAAGAAGAACAAGAAGTGCTGGAAGTGATGGTCCGGCCCCCAGAGCCCTGATCAACATCATCAGGTGTGTCTAGGATTACATGAAGATACAGAAGGATGTGAGGAAGCCGACATCCACAGAAGATCTGTGGTTAGTTCTCCAGGATGTTTGGAACAACCTACCAGCCGAGTTCCTTCAAAAACTGTGCAAGTGTAGAAGAAGGCAAAGGTGATTTGATTTAAATTTCTCTTTTGTTCATTCGCTGCATTTCGTTGATTGATAAAAATAGATAATTAGCACTTCCATTTTTGAAAGCATTCTTTGTTTACGGCTGCCTGAAACGTTTGCACAGTATTATATATACTTCAATATTAAACCTTTAAGAGTTATTTCACCAACCGAGTCATTTAAGGTACTAACAGGAGTCAATTTTTAATGGCTCTCATGGTGTTTATCATATCTGTGCTGCTTCATTCATCTATAACAGATATACTAAAATGTTCTAATGCCATTAAATATTACTTAAATGCAACAGTTCAGGTTGGTCTGAAGGTTTGTGATGCAGTAAATCTTTTTAGAAATAAAACATCACAGTGGGTCATAAATGGTACCACATGGTTACTTGGTGATTAACAAAATCAAAGTGTTTTAAATCCAGAAGCTGGTGATTCAAACTGTTTACTTAAATCTAAGAATGTGTCAAACTACGGTAACTCAAA